GTGGCATTGATATTTTATTTTATTTTTTTTCTTTTTATTTCAGCATATTACAGAGGTACAAATGTTTAGGTTACGTATTGCCTTTGTCGCACCTGAGTCAGAGCTTCAAACATGTGCACCACATCCATTAGGTGTGAATATACCCATTCCCTCCTTCACCCTCCCACCTGCCTGACACCTGATGAATGTTACTACTATATGTGCACGTAAGTGTTGATCAGTTAATACCAATTTTACAGTGAGTACATATGGTGCTTATTTCCATTCTTGTGATACTTCACTTAGTAGAATGGGCTCCAGCTCTATCCAGGATAATACAAGAGGTGCTAGATCACCATTGTTTTTTCTGACTGAGTAGAACTTCATGGTATACATATACCACATTTTATTAATCTACTCATGTATTGATGGGCACTTGGGTTGTTTTCACATCTTTGCAATGTGAATTGTGGTGCTATAAACATTCTAGCACAGATGTCTTTTTTATAGAATGTCTTTTTTTCCTTTGAGTAGATGCCCAGTAATGGGTTTGTTGGATAAAATGGTAGTTCTATTTTTAATTCTTTGAGGTATCTGCATATTACTTTCCACAGAGGTTGTACTAGTTTGCAGTCCCACCAGCAGTGCATGAATGTTCCTATCTCTACACATCCATTCCAATATTTATTGTATTGGGACTTTTTGATAAAAGCCATTCTCACTGGAGTTAAGTGATATCTCTTTGTTTTGATTTGCATTTCCCTAATGATTAGAGATGTTGAGCATTTTTTCATATGTTTGTTGGCCATTAGTCTGTCTTCTTTTGAAAAGTTTCTGTTCATGACCTTTGCCCACTTTTTAATTGGGTTGTTTGATTTTTTTCTTGCTGATTTTCCTGAGTTTTGTATAGATTCTAGTTATCATCCCTTTATCAGATGTGTAGCTTGTGAATATTTTCTCCCATTCTGTAGGTTGTCTGTTTGCTCTCTGTTGATAGTTTTCTTGGCTGTGCAGAAGGTTTTTACTTTGATCAGGTCCCATTTATTTATTTTGGTTATTGCTGTGATTGCCTTT